GTGCGATACGCTAAACAGCGCGATTGATTTGAAATGCACTAGACAGTGCGATACGCTAAACAGCGCGATTGATTTGAAATGCACTAGACAGTGCGATACGCTAAACAGCGCGATTGATTTGAAATGCACTAGACAGTGCGATACGCTAAACAGCGCGATTGATTTGAAATGCACTAGACAGTGCGATACGCTAAACAGCGCGATTGATTTGAAATGCACTAGACAGTGCGATACGCTAAACAGCGCGATTGATTTGAAATGCACTAGACAGTGCGATACGCTAAACAGCGCGATTGATTTGAAATGCACTAGACAGTGCGATACGCTAAACAGCGCGATTGATTTGAAATGCACTAGACAGTGCGATACGCTAAACAGCGCGATTGATTTGAAATGCACTAGACAGTGCGATACGCTAAACAGCGCGATTGATTTGAAATGCACTAGACAGTGCGATACGCTAAACAGCGCGATTGATTTGAAATGCACTAGACAGTGCGATACGCTAAACAGCGCGATTGATTTGAAATGCACTAGACAGTGCGATACGCTAAACAGCGCGATTGATTTGAAATGCACTAGACAGTGCGATACGCTAAACAGCGCGATTGATTTGAAATGCACTAGACAGTGCGATACGCTAAACAGCGCGATTGATTTGAAATGCACTAGACAGTGCGATACGCTAAACAGCGCGATTGATTTGAAATGCACTAGACAGTGCGATACGCTAAACAGCGCGATTGATTTGAAATGCACTAGACAGTGCGATACGCTAAACAGCGCGATTGATTTGAAATGCACTAGACAGTGCGATACGCTAAACAGCGCGATTGATTTGAAATGCACTAGACAGTGCGATACGCTAAACAGCGCGATTGATTTGAAATGCACTAGACAGTGCGATACGCTAAACAGCGCGATTGATTTGAAATGCACTAGACAGTGCGATACGCTAAACAGCGCGATTGATTTGAAATGCACTAGACAGTGCGATACGCTAAACAGCGCGATTGATTTGAAATGCACTAGACAGTGCGATACGCTAAACAGCGCGATTGATTTGAAATGCACTAGACAGTGCGATACGCTAAACAGCGCGATTGATTTGAAATGCACTAGACAGTGCGATACGCTAAACAGCGCGATTGATTTGAAATGCACTAGACAGTGCGATACGCTAAACAGCGCGATTGATTTGAAATGCACTAGACAGTGCGATACGCTAAACAGCGCGATTGATTTGAAATGCACTAGACAGTGCGATACGCTAAACAGCGCGATTGATTTGAAATGCACTAGACAGTGCGATACGCTAAACAGCGCGATTGATTTGAAATGCACTAGACAGTGCGATACGCTAAACAGCGCGATTGATTTGAAATGCACTAGACAGTGCGATACGCTAAACAGCGCGATTGATTTGAAATGCACTAGACAGTGCGATACGCTAAACAGCGCGATTGATTTGAAATGCACTAGACAGTGCGATACGCTAAACAGCGCGATTGATTTGAAATGCACTAGACAGTGCGATACGCTAAACAGCGCGATTGATTTGAAATGCACTAGACAGTGCGATACGCTAAACAGCGCGATTGATTTGAAATGCACTAGACAGTGCGATACGCTAAACAGCGCGATTGATTTGAAATGCACTAGACAGTGCGATACGCTAAACAGCGCGATTGATTTGAAATGCACTAGACAGTGCGATACGCTAAACAGCGCGATTGATTTGAAATGCACTAGACAGTGCGATACGCTAAACAGCGCGATTGATTTGAAATGCACTAGACAGTGCGATACGCTAAACAGCGCGATTGATTTGAAATGCACTAGACAGTGCGATACGCTAAACAGCGCGATTGATTTGAAATGCACTAGACAGTGCGATACGCTAAACAGCGCGATTGATTTGAAATGCACTAGACAGTGCGATACGCTAAACAGCGCGATTGATTTGAAATGCACTAGACAGTGCGATACGCTAAACAGCGCGATTGATTTGAAATGCACTAGACAGTGCGATACGCTAAACAGCGCGATTGATTTGAAATGCACTAGACAGTGCGATACGCTAAACAGCGCGATTGATTTGAAATGCACTAGACAGTGCGATACGCTAAACAGCGCGATTGATTTGAAATGCACTAGACAGTGCGATACGCTAAACAGCGCGATTGATTTGAAATGCACTAGACAGTGCGATACGCTAAACAGCGCGATTGATTTGAAATGCACTAGACAGTGCGATACGCTAAACAGCGCGATTGATTTGAAATGCACTAGACAGTGCGATACGCTAAACAGCGCGATTGATTTGAAATGCACTAGACAGTGCGATACGCTAAACAGCGCGATTGATTTGAAATGCACTAGACAGTGCGATACGCTAAACAGCGCGATTGATTTGAAATGCACTAGACAGTGCGATACGCTAAACAGCGCGATTGATTTGAAATGCACTAGACAGTGCGATACGCTAAACAGCGCGATTGATTTGAAATGCACTAGACAGTGCGATACGCTAAACAGCGCGATTGATTTGAAATGCACTAGACAGTGCGATACGCTAAACAGCGCGATTGATTTGAAATGCACTAGACAGTGCGATACGCTAAACAGCGCGATTGATTTGAAATGCACTAGACAGTGCGATACGCTAAACAGCGCGATTGATTTGAAATGCACTAGACAGTGCGATACGCTAAACAGCGCGATTGATTTGAAATGCACTAGACAGTGCGATACGCTAAACAGCGCGATTGATTTGAAATGCACTAGACAGTGCGATACGCTAAACAGCGCGATTGATTTGAAATGCACTAGACAGTGCGATACGCTAAACAGCGCGATTGATTTGAAATGCACTAGACAGTGCGATACGCTAAACAGCGCGATTGATTTGAAATGCACTAGACAGTGCGATACGCTAAACAGCGCGATTGATTTGAAATGCACTAGACAGTGCGATACGCTAAACAGCGCGATTGATTTGAAATGCACTAGACAGTGCGATACGCTAAACAGCGCGATTGATTTGAAATGCACTAGACAGTGCGATACGCTAAACAGCGCGATTGATTTGAAATGCACTAGACAGTGCGATACGCTAAACAGCGCGATTGATTTGAAATGCACTAGACAGTGCGATACGCTAAACAGCGCGATTGATTTGAAATGCACTAGACAGTGCGATACGCTAAACAGCGCGATTGATTTGAAATGCACTAGACAGTGCGATACGCTAAACAGCGCGATTGATTTGAAATGCACTAGACAGTGCGATACGCTAAACAGCGCGATTGATTTGAAATGCACTAGACAGTGCGATACGCTAAACAGCGCGATTGATTTGAAATGCACTAGACAGTGCGATACGCTAAACAGCGCGATTGATTTGAAATGCACTAGACAGTGCGATACGCTAAACAGCGCGATTGATTTGAAATGCACTAGACAGTGCGATACGCTAAACAGCGCGATTGATTTGAAATGCACTAGACAGTGCGATACGCTAAACAGCGCGATTGATTTGAAATGCACTAGACAGTGCGATACGCTAAACAGCGCGATTGATTTGAAATGCACTAGACAGTGCGATACGCTAAACAGCGCGATTGATTTGAAATGCACTAGACAGTGCGATACGCTAAACAGCGCGATTGATTTGAAATGCACTAGACAGTGCGATACGCTAAACAGCGCGATTGATTTGAAATGCACTAGACAGTGCGATACGCTAAACAGCGCGATTGATTTGAAATGCACTAGACAGTGCGATACGCTAAACAGCGCGATTGATTTGAAATGCACTAGACAGTGCGATACGCTAAACAGCGCGATTGATTTGAAATGCACTAGACAGTGCGATACGCTAAACAGCGCGATTGATTTGAAATGCACTAGACAGTGCGATACGCTAAACAGCGCGATTGATTTGAAATGCACTAGACAGTGCGATACGCTAAACAGCGCGATTGATTTGAAATGCACTAGACAGTGCGATACGCTAAACAGCGCGATTGATTTGAAATGCACTAGACAGTGCGATACGCTAAACAGCGCGATTGATTTGAAATGCACTAGACAGTGCGATACGCTAAACAGCGCGATTGATTTGAAATGCACTAGACAGTGCGATACGCTAAACAGCGCGATTGATTTGAAATGCACTAGACAGTGCGATACGCTAAACAGCGCGATTGATTTGAAATGCACTAGACAGTGCGATACGCTAAACAGCGCGATTGATTTGAAATGCACTAGACAGTGCGATACGCTAAACAGCGCGATTGATTTGAAATGCACTAGACAGTGCGATACGCTAAACAGCGCGATTGATTTGAAATGCACTAGACAGTGCGATACGCTAAACAGCGCGATTGATTTGAAATGCACTAGACAGTGCGATACGCTAAACAGCGCGATTGATTTGAAATGCACTAGACAGTGCGATACGCTAAACAGCGCGATTGATTTGAAATGCACTAGACAGTGCGATACGCTAAACAGCGCGATTGATTTGAAATGCACTAGACAGTGCGATACGCTAAACAGCGCGATTGATTTGAAATGCACTAGACAGTGCGATACGCTAAACAGCGCGATTGATTTGAAATGCACTAGACAGTGCTTTAATATTGTCATCACTAATGAAATACAAAGAATGAATTAATTTTGTGAATCAAGAGAAGACAACAATGACTGAGAAAACACAATACAAATATAGCTAGAGAAAGATGTTTGATGAGTACTTATAACTTATAAGAACATAGAGATTCAAATTTCGCATAGTAAGGCCACTGAGGGACTTCAAGTCTTCGAGACAGAGTGCTAAACAACAATCTACATACCCTAAGGAAATTGACAGTTGTTTAGTAGGAGAAACAATCAAGAAGATGAAAATAAGGCCCCAACATGGTCTATTTTTAACATGGAAAAATTATATAATACGGTCTTAAAGAGTGAATAAAGAAAAATTGGGGGGGGGGACAATAGACAAAAACTGAGCATGCTCATTCAACAAAGCCTTATTCAACTACAAGGAATTCACTACACAAAGCCATTTTGTGATTCACTGCCATCCTATAGTATGTCTTAAACCAATTTCTAATGATACTGCCTTGAAAAAAGATGTGTACTAAAATAATAAGCATGAACCGGGGAAATTGAATTCCCAACTATGCTGGACTGGCATCAAGTGTCGTGTCCCTACATACCTGTATCCAATTGAACTTTTCCTGTTATTATGACAAAAATTATAGACTGTTTGTCATATGAATGAGCTGTGATTTGTCCTTTTCGTGCCTTGATAGAGAAAAAAACTAACAGCAATAACAATAACAGGATGGAAAAACATTATTGTCCTTTTTTTCTTTTGGGTGTAGGTAGGTGGGTGGGTGGGTGGGCAGTAGGGACATGGGAGGGGGATGGACCAAATTGCATCATAAATAAATAAAAAAATGTTGTTAGTTCATAACACTTTAAAAAATGTAGCTACTTACCTCATTACCATGCAAATCAACCAGTGTTTTCAACTCAGCTCTACGGAAAAGTGCTACATGTACATGTCCTAGCAGAAAATATAATAGCTAAAATCACAGAGAATAAGGGTAGCCAAGAAGACTAATTAGAAAGACCAACCAATGAATTTGCTTAACTAATGCAATGCAATAGTGCTGAGCAAACACAAGTACCTTGCTTATTGGATATGCTACAGGAAAACAAATCCAAACAAGAATGCAGACAAATGGGGCTACAACTGCACCAATAGCCAACCCATATCTAGAACAAACAGATTGTTGTATAATCTGTTCATACAGACTAGTAGTAATTAGCGCATGCAAATTCACCATGCTGATTTAACCAGGAAAATTGAAACATCATGATGCGAAAAATAAATTTGAGTTTTCTAAAAGCACTTCTTCAGAAAATGTATCCATGCTACAAGAACATAACTCAAGTTTTCTAATAAGCACTTTTTCTAATGGGCAGACACATTCCCACCTCAATTCCCCATGTCGCAAATTGCAGGGATAAGAAATCAGTTTTACGTGGGTAAAATTGGGCACGAATACCCTAATAAACCATAAATTGCACTGCAAATTCAAGCAGCTGTCCACCTGCTCCAAATTTTATAGCTCTCTTCTAAAGAAATGTTACCTAAGATAAATCCCTCACCTCTCCAAATAGAAGTATCAATGTAACTGAAATCAGGATGGCACCCCAAGCAGTGATTAGACTATACAGAAATATGGGAAGTGCCTGAGGAAAAGAACATCTAAAAACATCAAGTACTTCACGTTACATGTTACTAAAAATAGCTTGGTTCAACATGTCATAATATATGTACCTCCATGGCAGCAGCATTGCATATAACCACAATAATTACGAATCTGACACAGTTCACCCAGAAATCCAAGGTAGGTTTCCTCAATGAAAACTTGAAGGGACAAATATAGTCCAAGAGACAAATAGTAGTGCAGATAATAAAATACCAAAACTGACAACACATACAAAAACACCGAGTACCCTAGATTTATCCCTCCTGTGATCTTGAACATACAAACCTTATAGTACTTAATGGACCAACCGCTGGCATTGCCTCCCAAGCTCTCCTTCCAAGATTCATACTCCGACATGGAATAAAACGCTAGAACTTTCCCATTTCTGTGAGTAGCCTGTGCAACAATAAATACCAGTTATTATAAACTTCACTTTCAGTTCCACTAGACAGTAATGGAAGTAAGATTGGACAGGGATTAGCATTCTTATTCCTTCCAAGATTCATACTCCGAATTGTCAAAGTCTCTTTGGTTTGAGAATCAAAAGTTGGGTTGTCAATAAGAGCATTGACAAAAACCTATAGATGGTTCTTCACTGCGTGGGCTTTGAGATTAGCATTCTTATTCTTTTTATTAACAATACTCATTACATAGTTTGTAATCTGGTTGGTAACATATCAACATGAGTCCTACCCTTAATTGTCGCAATCGAATTTACAAAGCTAACCTGTTAGCATTCTTATTCATTTTATTAACAATACTCATTACATAGTTTGTAATCTGGTTGGTAACATATCAACATGAGTCCTACCCTTAATTGTCACAATCGAATTTACAAAGCTGACCTGGAAAGTCATCAACCCATCAAAATTTAACATTAAGTTTCATCAATACAGCAGCTGAGAGAAAACCATTTACCTATAACCAACTATTTAGGATGCAACTAAAAACTATAAGAATAACTATGAGATAAATAAATATATAACTAAAAACTATAAGAATCACAGACAAACAAATAAACTATAAGAATTTACTCATTTAAAATAGACAATTTTTCACTAGTATTTTCCAGTAATCATTGAAATTTACTTCAATTCTAAAGCCTTTCTTTTGGAAATCTTCCAATGATTTGGACTTTTGGGAAACCTATTCCTATTGCTGTTTTCTTATTTTCTTTTAGGATATCTGGTTTCTCCACTTCATCGACATCATTACACACACAATGCAATTCAACTTGCCATGAACTTTAAAATGGAAAAGAAAGGTGATAAAGGAGTAACTAGTGACCTACATCGTTAACTTAATTGGCAGCAAGAGAAATAGAAGATGTGATCATTAAATAAAGATCAAAAGAGACAAAGGTAAAGGCTCAAACCTTCATAGGTCATTCATCCAGATGATTTCTTATTCTTCTTTCCAACATCTTCATCCAAGACTATAGATTTTGAATCACTAAGAGCTGATGTAGAACATCTAGAAATAGGGTTGTTAATCCTGGAAATCTACTTCCAACGAAGGAAATCCATTTTCAAATAAAAATATCTGAACCAAATGACTAGATGAGATAGCTTACGATTCAAAAAAGTCAATGCTGCAATATTGCAGCATTGACTTAATAAATAAAATGTTGAAGAGAAGAGAAAACCCCAAGAGTGCTCCAACACAAACCCAAAACATGTAGTCATCTGTGAAGAAGTCTCTAGACTTGAGAAGGACTTTGCCAATTGTAGGTGCATGAATTCGGGGGTCTGGATTGGGCTGCAATAAGAAAGATGTTTAGAATTTTGAGAATGTAAAGATACTACACAACCAGTAAAAGAGAACTTAGAAATAGAAATCAAAAGTGCATATAAAGATTCAACAATGTGGTATAAAGATTGGTAAATTAAAAGCTCATTCTAATTCAAGATAGGCTCAAAAGTGAAAATAGAAATCATGCAGCTTACTTTGGGCAACTATAAATCCTCCAAGCAGAATATTCATTATCATTGTGCAGGTTCCTAAACTGCATACAACAACCAGCTTTCTTCCTACTGCAGCAACAAAGCGAAAGAGGGAGAGAGACATTTGATGTATACTGAACAATGCCAATAACTGCTGGAAAAACCTGAATCAGATTTTAGCCCCAGAAGATTCCCCAACAGACTGCATACTAGGAATGGGTTTATTATTGCCTTAACCCCTTAATCCCATTCCATCAAATAAACATGGCATTAATTATGTTAAGTAATCAATGGAAATGTGGAACAATAATACTAAATAATACTATGTACCAATCCAATTTATTTTGAACAATAATAATACTAAACATGGCATTCAGTGAAAAGTGTTTTTGTTGTTATAGTCAAGAAATGCAAGAGTAACCATAAATGCAGTACACCCAGGAATTGTGAAGACTGGCATCATCAGAGACCACAAAGGATTTATCACAGGCATGTATTATTTCCATCATTAAAACTCTGAATTTTTTTAAGGAGATGAAAGATGAAAATAAAATTCTGATCTTTCTGCTCCATTTTTCTTGCAGATTCTATGTTTTTCCTCACATCACTATTCACTTCACTCTTAAAAACAAGAAAAACATAAAGATACAAATTATTATTGATACAATGTAAGATTAAGGAAATACGAGTAGAAATTATTGTACACAAATGTGCATATACATACATAATATATAAATTGGGGAAAGTTGAGTTTTGACGAAATTGCTAACCGGGAAGAGAAACAAAAAAAGGAAATCAATACAAAATGAAAATAAGTCTTGAAATTCAATAAAAAAATTCAAACTTACGCATATATGCTCAGTGTGATTGGACAAACTGAACTATGCAACAAACCCTATCTCCTAGATCCTCACCCCACCTCCATAATCCCAGTTATAATATAAAAACCTGTGTGTATATCCCAGATCAAACAGAAGAAAACCCAAAAAGGTATACATTAAACACTAGTTTTTTAAAAAAAGAATAAAAATACTAGTTTCACTAGAATTTAAGCCTTTTCCTTATTAAAATCGAACTTAACCAAACACCAACAAATTCAAAAAGCTATCTCTTAACCTTTGTTTTAAATTAAACAAACCAATTTGTGAGAATCGATAGACTAATCTAAAAGATAAAAACAGAGCAACATTATTTCAAACGAGATTAAAAAAAACCATCTTAAACCCTATTTTTAATTAACCTAATCAATAGAAAAACCTTTTTATAATTTGAAAATTTTAAAAATAACGCAACAAAAAATTTGAACGAAAATTCAAATACAATGTGAATGTTCACCATAAATAACAAGCATACAATTAAATTTTGGAAAAATAAAATACATACTAAAGTACAATGTGAATATTCACAAGAAATAAAACATACAACTAATGTAGTACCCTAATTTTTTGTAAGTCATTATTTATTATTATTACTTTATTTTATTTTTGACTTTATTAATTACATGGCTACATAAGAATTTAATTTTATATTTAATTATATATAATTAATTTGAATATTTATATATATATATAAAGTGTTATATTTATTGATTTTAAAAAGTATATTTATATATATTGTATTTATACAATAAACTATAGGGATTTTTATTGATAAATCCATCTTAGAGTTGTTATAACCCATTAGGTCCACAAAGGAATATTATAACCTGATTAGTCACATATACTTTTCTTTTTATTCCATAAAGTCCATTTTACTAATTTTATATTTTTACCTGGACTATTATGCCCTTATATATATATATATATATTGTGTTAATACATAACACGTTCCCTGTGATTTCATTGATTCAGTTTTGACAGTTTCTATCTTTACGCTTTTCATCATCATTCTAATTCAAATGGATACGTTTCTATCTTGCATGCTCGTTCTGAGGCTTTGATGTGCTAGGGTTTCATTGTTGCTGTTGTAGCCTGGTTCGGTGATTTTCAAGTGAAGACGATGAATTTGAAGGTGTTCGGTGGTCACATTTTCTGGAGTATAACTACTTCAAAGCAGTTGTTTTCGAGTTACTGGATGATTGTAGGATTGCATGATTAAGGTTAGTATCATTTTGGTTATGAATACATGTTCACTTTATGTTTTGATTTGTATGATGGATCAGATGCTCTGTTTTTTGATTGATATTGATCGGATGCTCTGTTTTTTCAATTATATGCATCATACATGGTCCTGTGGAGGGGAGGTCATTCAGATTATGTGAAGAATGTGTAGTTCTCGTTTTACTTTGATGTATCCATAATGAGGCTCTATGTGGATGATATATTTCAGAGTATATGTATCAATGTGAATGTTTACATCTTGTTAATATTATGTGAAGAATGCGGATGTTCTCATTTTACTTTGATGTTTGCTTAATAAGGCTTTGCGTGAGTGATATAATTCAGAGTATATGGATCAATGTGAATGTTTACATCTTGGTCCTGTGGAGGGGAGGCCATTAGATTAGTGATGAATGTGGATGTTCTATAATTCAGAGTATATGGAACAATGTGAATGTTTACATCGTGTTAATATTATGTGAAGAATGTGGATGTTCTCATTTTACTTTGATGTTTTCTGAATGAGGATCTGTGTGGGTGATATAATTCAAAGTATATGTATCAATGTAAATGTTTACATCATGTTAATAGTATGTGAAGAATGTGGATGTTCTCACTTTACTTTGATGTTTGCTTAATGAGGCTCTGTGTGGGTGATATAATTCAAAGTTTATGTATCAATGTGGATATTCACATCTTGTTAATGTGAATTATGGATTTAACACTTGAACTGTACACGTAGTCATCTAATTTTTGCACAATGTGAATTTTTATATCATTTTGGATTATTGTTGATTGTTGTATTGTTGTGTTTTTACAGGAGATAGATACCTTTATGATGTTGGTGTGTACATATGGTTGCAGTACAACTGTAATAAATGTTGCCCGCGCATTGTGTTATTCGCATTTGGTGGACTGTTTGTGTGAAAAATGGGGGGAGTTGTCTGCTGGTTCTATTTCATTGTTCTTTCGGTTACCTGGGATTAATAGGTGTGATTTGGACAATGATAAAGAATTTCAGAACATGTTACCGCTTGCTAAATCAATGGGGGTACAACATGTAGAAGTTGTTGTTGAGTTGAAAAGTGATATTGGTCAGTCAAGTAGCTCGGGATCACTGCACGTGGGGGTTGAGGAAGAAATTGATGCACTACGGAGATTTTGCCACCATAAAGAGAAGGTGTTGTTGTCAACCCCTTGGGCAAATGGTATTACGCATGTAGGACAACGGTTTGTTGGAGGTGCGCAAGAATTTCGTGATGTTTTATGTAAGTATGCCATCCAATGTGGGTTTCAGTTTATGTATATCAAGACCGAGACAACAAGAGTTACTGCTGTGTGTGCGATGTGTGAGGAGAGAGGCTGCTTGTGGGCTATACATTGTAGAGCACAACGAGCAAATGGTTTTTTCTACATCAAGAGGTTTAGTGATGTGCATAGTTGTGGTACGGATGTCCAAACATCGAAGAATTCGCGAGTTAGTTCGGATTTGGTGTCGAGTACCATATCTGAAATTGTGAGGGACAAGCCGTTGACTCGGCCATGTGAAGTGGTGACTATTTTGAAGAGGGATTATGGGCTAGATGTGAGTTACCACGTCGTATGGTTGGAATGCCTCCAAATTTTGAAAGCAAACACTACTACTGCTAACTCCAAGTCGTAGGTGGGCTAATTCTTCTCTTGATTTTTCAATTGTCGTGAACTCTAGGCCACAACATTTGCCCCTTGCATCAAGACACAACCAAGCCCATCCCAAGACGCATCACAGTAAACAGTGTAACCCAAGCCTCTTTCCGGAATTATGAAGACCGGTGTGGTGGTCAATCTAGTCTTAAGTTCTTGGAATGACTTTTCACAAGCCTCATTCCATACAAACTTAATACCCTTCCTAGTCAACTTAGTCAAAGGTGCAGCTAGTCTAGAGAAGTCCTTAACAAAACGTCGATAATACCTCGCTAGCCCCAAGAAACTCCGAATCTCGAAAACATTCTTAGGTTGCTCCCAATCCTGTACGGTATGTATCTTTGAGGAGTCCACAGTTACTCCCTCTCTAGACATTACATGCCCCAAAACTTCACCTCTGTTAACCAAAACTCACATTTCTCAAATTTGGCATACAATTGGTGCTCACTAAGTAAACCCAGCACTACCTGTAAGTGAGTCTCGTGTTTTTCCTCGGAGGTTGAATAAATCAAGATGTTGTCCACAAAGACGACCACAAAACGATCTAAGTATTCTCAAAAAAATCCAGTTTATCAAATCCATAAAGGAAGTCAGCTCATTGGTCAACCCAAAAGGCATCACAAGGAATACGTAATGGCCATAGCGCGTGCAAAAGGCCGTTTTTTGGATGTCCTCCTCCCAGACTCTCAATTAGTGGTACCCCGACCTCAATTCTATCTTCGAAAAGCAGTGAGACCCTCTAATTTGATCAAGTTAATCATCTATTCGGGGTAGAGGATACTTGTTCTTAACGGGAACTCGATTCAACTTGCGGTAATCAATACACAACCGCAACGACCCATCCTTCTTCTTCGCAAAGATAGTTGGCACTCCCCAAGCGATGTGCTAGGGCCGATAAAGCCCTTGTCTAAAAGTTCTTGGAGTTGAACCTTCAACTCGTGCAATTCGGCGGGTGCAAATCTATACGGTGCCATGGAAATCGGTGCTGTGCCAGGCGCTAAATCAATGGTGAACTCAATCTCCTGAT